CCTTAGGGCGGGTTCACACCTTGACGGAAAAGCGGAAAGCGGAAGAGCAGTTAACCGATCAGAACTCGCCCTGGTAGTAAAAAGTACAAATCTAACAGAAAGTCGACTACCTGATTGGCTACTGCTTTTCCGCATTCTGCTTTTCCGTCAAGGTGTGAACCCGCCCTTAGGCCAAAGTCAAAGGCTGCGGTCGAGTTGCCACTACGAATGCTTTGAAGCGTTTGATTGACCAATCAAAAGAAAGAATTTTACAAATTGACCAATCAAGAAACGCTTCAAAGCATTTGTAGTGGCAACTCGACCGCACCTAAAGTCTCGCTACAAATGCTTTGAAGCGTTTGATTGACCAATCAAGAAACGCTTCAAAGCATTGGTAGCATCGTGTTGACCGTACCTAGAGAGTGATAGAGAGAACGGATAAGAAAAAGTGAGATAGAAGTTTAGATGGCGTTACTGGGGAACTTTTCCATTTCGCGTATGCGCACTTCATTGTTGCCAACATAAATTCAGGAGAGTTGCCCTACTTGTATATACTCTGACCATGTTTTCCGGCCTCTCGTCAACACCAATCAGGTTACCGCAGTGTCCGCAGTAGGTGGCGCTCTGTGACAGCTCCACATTAACCAATTAACCAACATAAAATCAACGAGGAACGGAGATTTCTTACAGGTAATAATCAGAATATTTTTTGTCGGCTATAATTTTTTAACTCTCTCTTTCCAGAATTTACTAATCTTCAAATTAATATATTTTTAATTTTTAATGCTACATTCAAAAACGTCCTCTTTGAGAAAAATTTTATTCAATATGATACAGTATACGTTACGTGTACTTACATATTTCGAGGAAAATTTTCCTTGAATAGGATGTTTTGTGTGAACGCGTTTAAGCAAATAACCTGCCAAGCTTATTTATTGGCGGACGGCTCTGTCCGTAAAAGCTTAAATAAATGCTTCGATTAAAAATTTCGCAAAATTATTGACAGTATATTTTTATCAACTATTATTTCTTGTATTTTTGATATTACTATAGAGCTGTTATTTTCAACGCCACTGCATTGTATAATCTTGCATACTTTCAGTGAAACATGGTACTGTCGTGTCGATTTTATAAAGAAAAGTATCCAGAGGTAGAGGATGTAGTAATGGTGAATGTACGCAGTATAGCAGAAATGGGTGCATATGTTCATCTGTTGGAGTACAACAATATTGAAGGCATGATCTTGCTCTCTGAACTCTCTAGAAGACGTATTAGATCTATCAACAAACTTATCCGAGTAGGCAAAACTGAACCAGTTGTTGTTATTCGTGTAGATAAAGAAAAAGGTAATTTAGGATATTTTATTGGTTTATATATATATATATACTAAAAAAATATAGTGTATTGAGAATTAAATGCAGTTAGTGAAAAATTAAATTATTTATATAAATTTTTAAGTTTATACAATATTCTCATAGTTTGTAATGAAATATGTTAATCAATGGTTCTAGGCTACATTGATCTAAGTAAGCGTCGTGTGTCTGCTGAGGATGTAGAAAAATGTACAGAAAGATATGCTAAAGCTAAAGCTGTTAATTCAATTTTGAGACATGTGGCAGAGCTGTTGCACTATGATAATGACGATCAGCTTGAGGAACTCTATCAAAAAACAGCATGGCACTTTGAAGAAAAATACAAAAAACAGAAGGCATCTGCTTATGATTTTTTCAAACAATCAGTATTGTAAGCAAAATCTAACTACATTAATAACTGCAATAAAGTTAAATTAGATAGATATATATATATATATAAAATAAGGATGGATACATTAAAAATTTACATATAAATATTACTAAATAGTGAATACGAAGATCTAGCCTCAATCATATTTGACCCTGTTTTATGTATTTAAAAATATATTTAAATATATCTTTGGACACATATTTATGAAACACTTTTAGGGATCCTTCCATCTTAGCAGAATGTGGTTTGGACGAACACACGAAGGAAGTGTTGCTAAATAATATTAAGCGAAAACTTACTTCACAAGCAGTTAAAATTAGAGCAGATGTCGAAGTGGCATGTTATGGTTATGAAGGGATTGATGCTGTTAAGACTGCACTGAAAGCAGGCTTAGCTCTTTCCACCGATGAACTTCCTATAAAAATTAACTTAATTGCTCCTCCATTATATGGTATATGTTCTATATTATTTTTCAAATCAATCCTGTATTAAAAATCATAATGTTATATCTTATTTTATGGTGATCGTCAGTTATGACGACATCTACCCCAGAAAAACAGGATGGCTTAAAGGCGTTAGGTGATGCAATCGAAGTCATACAGAATAAAATAACTTCGCTTGGAGGTGTATTCAACGTACAAATGGCAGTAAGTTTCATACATAAATAATGTTTATCCAATTTTTTGCATATTATAATAAAGAAATTATACTGTTTTTTTTTTCTACAATATTAGCCAAAAGTTGTTACTGCGACAGACGAAGCAGAATTAGCGCGACAGATGGAACGAGCGGAACTCGAAAATGCGGAGGTTGCTGGTGATGACGAAGAAGAAGTGGAAGGATTGGAAGGCGATTTTAGTGGTGGCGAAGGAGGCGAACAAAACAGTAAAGGTATCGAACAGAATGGTAAAACTATAGATGAGAACGATAAAGACGATGTATCTGAGGAGGATAATTGAAAAATATATATATTTATAGAAATAAAGTATTCTCGATTAACTAACAGACATTTGCATGTTTTTCAATTAAAATTAGAATTTAATAAAGTATTCTATTGCCTTTTTGTTGAATATACCAGAACGATTATTCAATAAATATGAAAATAAAAGATGTAAAAATCAATGTAATTTATAAAAATGAAATTTTTTACTAACTTGATATACAATAAACGATCTAAA